ATAAGTTTGTGATGACGGGTGAGAGGGCTGATCCCATGGGTGCTCCTTCTATCTGTTTGTATCTTTGTCCATGATGGATGAAGTAGGGGTTGGTTAGGCAGTGGTTGGTTAGGTCCAGGATGTGTTTAGGGGGGCTGTGTTTGTCCTGGATAGCTCTCAAGACTTCTTTTATAGGCCCTTGGGTGAAGAGGGGTGTGACATCGAAGCTCACGAGGAGGTCCCTGGGTTGTAGGTTTTGTTTCTTTATTGTTTCTATGAAGTGGAGAGAGTTTTTTTACGTCTGAGGTGATGGTTTCTGCGTAGGGTTGGAGTTGTTTGGCAAGGAATTTGGCAAGGTTCTGTAGAGGTGAGCCTATGGAGCTGACTATGGGTATGAGTGGTGTTCCTTCTTTGTGTATCTTGGGGAGGCCTTAGCGTTTGGGGCATCTGGAAGATTTCTGTCTGGGGATGATTCTTTGCTGGATCTCTTCACTGATGGGAGAGGCTTTTATTTTGTGCCTGGTGGCTTTTTTCCAGGTAATTGGTGGGGTCTGTGTTGAGAGGTTTGTAAGTGGGGTCTTGGAGTAGGTTGGATACTTTGGCTTGGTAGTCAGACGTATTCATCACCACTGTGGCGTTACCTTTGTCTGCTGGGAGAATGATTATGTTGTTGTCTTTCCTCAGGTTCTTCTTGTTCTTGTTGTTGTAAGTTGCTTCTGGGTGGATTGGTGGAGCAGAGGACGTTGCTGACTGCAAGTCTGATTTTATTGGCTTCATCTGGGTTGAGTTTGGTGAGGGTAGCTTCAACTCCGTATATTATGTCTTCAGTGGGGATGTGTTTAGGGGCGACTGCAAAGTTGAATCCTCTAGAAAAGACATTGGTTTCAGCTGTGGTGAGGGTCCTGTCTGATATGTTGTGTACTGTTTGTTTCATGCTGTGGAGGGGGTTTGGGCTTCCCATCACCACCCTGCACAGATCACATGTTTTTCTAGTCTGTGGAGTTTGTTAGTGTGTGTGTGTGTGTGTCTGTCTTGTAGGAGATTTCTGTTTCGGCTCTGCAGAGGGCTAGTTGTTTGTCCCAAAGTGCTGGGTGGATTTTGTTGCTGAGTTTAAGGTGAAGAGTGAGTAGGTCCCGGTTGGTTTGGTCTGGTAGGAATCTTTTCTTGTGGAGTTCATTTCTGATTAGTGCTAATTCAGTTCTTTTCAGGATCCTTTCGGTGGCTGAGGTTTTAGAATGGAATTTTAGTTGGAAGCATGTGGGGATCAGGCTTTTGTCTCTGCAGTTGCGCAGGAATGTGAGGTCACATAAGATGGTGGTTCTTCGGACTTAAACTTTCTCGTAGGTCCTGGTGAGCAGGAAGGTTTCCTCCCCATAGAGGTAAGATATTTGTTTTTATAGATTTTCACAGGTGTAGGTATGGTGGTCTTGTTGTATTCGGGTCTTTTCCTGTGTAAGATTGAGATTGTCTTGGCAACGTTTTGGCGAGGTCTCACTCGCCATCCTCAGGCTGGTGTTTTTGGCTTAAAGTGCGGTCAGAGCTGATGTCTTTCTATAAATCTTGGTGGGTGGGTGTGGAGTGCTGGCTTTGTTTCAATAAGTGGATTGATTGGCTGTGTGGTTGTATCATGATTGGTAGATTGGTGCTGATTGGTGCTGGCTGTGTGTCCGTTGTTGTTTTGTGTTGTAACAGCCTGGGTGGTATGTGGGGCTCGTTCATTGCCCAGGGCTGGTTTCCAGATGTCTGGTTGGCAGGAAGTATCGTCCCATTTATTCATGTTATGCGGGTGTTTCTCTATTTCGATAACTTCCATAATTATTCTTTTGTTGAAGTGTTCAGTTTTGGAGATTAATTTGGTTCCTTCAAAATTAATTTCTACAGGAAATTTCTACTGAAAATTAATTTCTACAGCTACAGGACATGGAATTACAGGACACACAACAAGACCAGCATATATATGTTATATATTTTCTCAGTTTGAAAGGGGCAGACAAGTAAAATCAGTATGTGCCTTCTAAACACTGCATCTGAAAAGGGCAACGCAAACAAGTGGCTAAGTGAATAGTGTCCATACTGAGTTTTCTGAATGCCAGTCATTCTTCATTTAGCAGACGGGGGTTTGGGCATCGGTTGCAGCAAATATTCTTTGCTGCACTGGAATGTGCTCAGAATGTTCTCA